TCAAGGTTTAAAGTATCAAAAGCTTTAAGTGTATCAGAAAGGCAATTTTAAGAAATGTAGCAGGATATGTCTTGGATACGCATGCATATTAGAGAAAAATTAAGATACACAAAAAAACACTATAAATACTTCAATAAATCATAAAAGTATATCAATAACACTAAATATAAGACCTCAATGAGGTATATATATTGCTGATATTTTCACAAGGGAAATTACTATTAAAGGAAGATGCTGGATGGTACTATTAATCTATGATGATGGGTGGGGTGGTCAAGCTTTTTCAGTTTGGCAACCCAAGTTAGGTTTTAATCTTTACACCATATCATCATTTTTATCATTTTTTGGACAGTTCTATGGTTTCCCACTATGACCACCCCATTCACATCCTTCCTATTTGGGTACCAAATAAAGCTACCTACAACAATGCCATAAGAAACACGGGAAATGGTGGTGATTGGTGACCCAAAGATGGTGACATCCATTGCACCATGCATGCCAAATGCCTTTGACAACTTTGTATCCCAATTATGGAAAGAGTCCCACTCCTTTTAAAATTGAGGGAGTTCTCCTTCAGGCTAGATAGAAAGCCAAATCAACTATATGTGTCTAAGAAGAGATTGGCTTCCACCAGGGCAAATCAGTGCCCATACCATTCTAATAGCCTTTTCCAACTTTATATTGGGAATATTTCTCCATGAAATAAAGCATATAAGTATGAAGATATTCTCAATACAAGATAGTAAAGACTGCTAGAATGGTCTTTGCCCTGACTGAAGTCGAACTCGTCTAAAAAGAACCTTAAAACTTTTCTTGAAAAAAAAAATCATTCAGTAGAAAACAACAACAAAGTCCAACAAAAAAAGAAAGATCGAAGAAGACACTACAGACTACCCAACGTTAAAACAAACACGACATACTACTAACCAGTCAGGTGGTCTAATCCACCAACACCCCACTAAAAGCTCAAAACCATGATAATTAAGCTAAATCATGACCAACTCATTACCTAAACGACTAACAAAGGAAAAATCCACACACAACCCAACCCATTACGTTACAATCATGTCAGATATCTTTGACAAGGAAAATTTGTCCTTCGGCCAATCTATCATCTTTTTTTTGGAGAGAGCCCATTAATTAACTGTAAGCAGTCCCGTTCAATAATAATGTTGTCAAGCCTTCTTGATTTAACCAGTTTGAGCGCTTTTGATTGGCATCTCTCATTTTATACCCATTAGTGTAGGCTCTTTATAGTAGTGTGTGTGTGTTTTTTTTTGTTTTAATAATATTAGGGTTTAATATTTTAACTGCTATTATTTTTTATTATTTTATCCCTTTCCACTTTATGATTCCTTTTGACACGTGCCTGCTGTGCATTGCTTTGGTCTAGTTTTGGGCTCAAAATTGCCCCATTGGTGGGATAGGGCCAGGAGAAGATGGGTGATCAGGCCATTTTGGCTACATTTGGTTCAGATTTTCATTTTGTTATTTCTTGCCAATTCTTAAAAAATAGGCATTCTATTGCTATCTGGAAATAGAATGGCCTGAAATGGTGGAAAGAAAATAGAGAATAGTTTTTGTCTCATTTTTTTTAAATAATGGAAGTTCATTGCCAAAGAAATAAAAAGATGAAGAAAATAGTTTTAATATATTTTTAATATTACATTCCATTACATTGTACAATATATGTAATGTAATAATTTCTCAATTTTGATTGAAAATGGGTAGGTTTGTAAGGAATCCGATTTGGACCAGATTCAGATTTAATCCAACTTTATTCTATTTTTATCAAAATGAAAAAACATAAAAAAAATTAACATTTTTTTTTTAATTTATCTATACCATATAAAGAAGATGCTTGCCTTGTTATTAATGTAGGTCATAAAAGATGAATAAGAGCCCATTTGGTTAACCGTCAGAATTGGAATCGAAATTTCTTAGAATGACCTATTCTCATAGTCTATTTGATTCAAATAGAAACCGGAATGAGGATTATAGTCAGCTGAAATAGATCCTTATTCTCGAGAACCAAATGGGCAGTAAATATATATGGAGATGGGTCAAATCCGAAACCGATTTAATTAATAAACAGATGCAATATCCAATTCCAAATAACCAGATTGGGTGTTGAATCTGATGTCGGATTTTTGAATTCCCTTGACAACCCTTTCCTAAAAATGGGCCAAAGTATCCAACCAAATGCTATTCTAGTACCAAATTAACAAGAAATGGCCAGAAATGGTTTATGGGGCTCTGGGGCCAAACCAATTTGTCACAAAGGTACCTCATTAAGATAAATGATTTATAAGATTCACCAACCCCTTTGATCAAAATTGGTCCCCGGTTCTGCCACATACGTTACTGAATCAAACTTTGGACTGGGTCATGTTAGAACTCCTTATACGTTTCAGAGTGAGAGAGTACAGAGCAAAACAGAACTTCATTGGGATGCGAAAAGCTGCAAAATTTCATGGTAAACGTCACACAAATGCCGCTGCATTAACAAGCTCTCATCTGTTCGTCCTAGAGATCGACTTGTAGTTTTCTTGCTTGAATCCTAGAGATCCCTCACATGAATCTGAACAATTAATCTTTAGTTTGCAGATTTGTAATGAAACTAAGTTCTTGACTCTAGGGATCAAGAAGGGTTTTTCTATTATTCCAGTCAGTCGTACTATTTTGATAATCTTGCCTATAGTGAATTTGAGCTGTTTCATATTTATGGGAGCAGGGGACTTGCAGAGTTTCATATTTTTATATCCAACGATGTTGATATGTTTTACCTTTGCATAGTTTCTTTGTTGTCATGATTGTCTACAGTTGCATCATTTGCATAGTTTCGAATTATTAGTGTGGAATAGTCTCCTGCATCTGTCTTCTCATTAACTCAAGGACAAGGAAAACCATTTTGCAAAAATTCTTTCTTGCGGATTACCACTGATGTGGGGTGATTTGGCCCGACCTAATAATGGAGGGATATGTGGACATGACCTAACTGACAGAATGACAATACATCCTAAGTGAACCCAAGTCTTTGATGGACCAAGTTCGGATAACTGAACCGCCTCGAGACAGACCCACCTCGGAAGAGAATCCACCTCGGGACAAGTTCATTTCAGGGCACGACTGCATTAAGATCACCTCGGCGTTCGTAACAGGTCGGACCCAGGGGGCATCAGTTCGGGTAATATTGACCGGCCTCCACATGATAACCCCGAAGATCTCGTAACCGAATTCCATGTTTCACGGGATCACGCCTCGTAACAGCTGGCCTTATCTCCTCCGACCGATTCGGACGACAACGATATGCCTTATCGGGTGGCGATGTTATCTCCCATTAATTCGGTGACAGGCCACATCACGGCGAGAATTCCGGAACCACTCCAAAAAACTCACGAGGACTCCAATATAAAAAGACCCCAACCCTTTGGGGGCAGAGGTACGCGCAATTACTGCTTACTAGCTCTCCTACTTTCTGATCACTTTTAGTGTGCACATACTGACTTAAGCATTGGAGCGACCTCGCCGGGTAAGCACCCCCGGGTTCTCTGATTCTTTTTGTGCAGATTCTCCACGTCCGTCGTCTATTGGGAGCCAAGTCACCTCAAGCTAAGAGCAGCCAGATTGCGCAGCATCAATTGGCGTCGTCTGTGGGAATCGCTTCAAAAGCCTTTTTCACCAAGCGCACTAAACTCGTCTTCAATGGCATCTTCCAGCAACGCTGGGCAAAGCACCGATATGAACACCTCTGAGGGGCAACTTCAGGTCCCAACTGTCTGTATCGAACAGTTTACCGTACCTCTCTCTGCGGATGGGATCCCCACTCTCAATGTGCCTCAGGTTCTTGTACTAGTGAATGCCCCACTCCCCTTGATGGTGGGTGCAACCTTCGCCGAACCATCTATCATCCCCCCGACAGTCGGACAGAATCAATTAGACGACCTAATGCACTGCATGCGGGCTATGCAGGCCCAAATGCAACAGGTCCAGCAATTTCAACTGTATCAACAGTAGGTCCTACACCACATTTATCAGTAGTAGTTTCCCCCACTGCCACAGAATTAGCAAACTCAGCAGCCAATTCCACCTCGGCATCCGGCTGCACAGCAAGTCAAGCCTCACCGCCAGGGCGAGCGACCTCCTCGCCGGGGAGAGACCTCCCAAGCCCGGAATCCCCTCGAGAGCCAGGTCTCGTCCTGTAGTAGGAGGGAGAGACAAGTTACTCCTCCCGCTTCCCAACAGGTGAACAGATCGGGAGATACCCAGCCTGCTAGGGTTGTATCACCTCGGCCCTCCTAGTTCAAACTCCCGCTCGCGGAGAACCGGTTCGGGGTTCTAGTCGCGGATTCCAGACCAGGCCCTTCAGTTCACAGCAACCGTCGCCAACAGTCTGAGCAGCTCCCCGCAAGAACAGTGCCTGATAACACAGAAGCCAATAACACTAACGCAGAACCGGTGAAGAAGCAACAGAAGTGGCGTCATAAGGCTCGCCGAGCTGTAGCCCAAAACTAGCTCGACTAGTCCAAAGGAAAGGAAGAAGCAAGCTCGGGAACAGCGAAGACTGCCCCACTCCTCTCTGTACCATCCACTATCTCCCGAGCTCCTGGCAGTTCCAATGCCCAAGGACTTTAAAGTACCTCCCCTGGACAAGTACGACGGGTCGTTCGACCCGAATGACCACGTAGACTCATTTCAATCACAGATGCACCTAGCCGGGGCGGATGAACCTTGTATGTGCGTGGCTTTATCCACCACCTTTAAAGGGGTAACTAGCACATGGTATAGAAACCTAGCGCCCGGGACAATCAATAGTTGGGCACAGTTTGTGCAAATTTTTACCTCGCACTTCATCACAAGCAAGAGGGAGGGAGGGAGAATCCATCCGAAGCTACATCAAGAGATTCAACGATGCATGCTTACAGATTCCTGATTTAGACTCGGCCGTAAGACTCATAGCAGTCAAAAGAGGTATCACCCACAAAGAATTCAAGTGGCACATGGTCGCCAACATACCTAAAGACGTTATTGAGTTCCTCAAGCTTGCTGACCAGTTCATCGGAATAGAGGAAGAAATTAACCAGAAGAGCGAGAACCCACCAGAGAAGAGGAAAAGAGAAGGTGAGGCCTCAACAAACGGGGACAACAAGAGGAAGAAGGATGAGCCAGCCCGAGGAGGAGGAAAATCGGATCAGTCTTTCCGAGCTCCTCCAGTCGAAAGAAAGAATTACATGCCCTTGAATGCAAAACGAACAGAAATCCTCATGGCGATCAAGGACGCCTCTTATGTGAAGTTGCCACCTCGGATGAGAGGGGATCCGAACACCAGAAACAGAAATGTGTACTACCACTTCCACAGAGATCATTGTCATAGCACCAAAAATTGTAAGAATCTCCGTGATGAGATAGAAGAGCTCATTCGTCACGGATATCTGAAAAACTTTGTACTGAGTGATAATAAAAACCAAACAGGTCGGCAGGGGGAGCAAGGTGGAGATGCTCCCGAGTCCAACAACAGGAAAAATGAGCAGCCGCAGAGACAGCTGCCCGAAGAGAGGCCGGTTCGAGGGGTAATACACATGATCACTGGCGGATCGATTGTCGTGGGCTGCACTTCAACCGCGGTGAAGACATCAGCTTGTGAGATTGAAAGAGAAGAACAGAATCCTCCAAAAAAGCCGAGGTTAGAAGAACCCATTTTCTTCACTGAAGATGATGCGCGCGGAATCCAGTACCCCCACGATGACGCGCTCTTCATAAAGATAAGAATTAATGATTTTGAGGTGAAGTGCGTCTTGGTCGACTCCGGCAGCTCGGCAAACATACTCTTCAAGGATGCATTCGACAAGCTGCAGCTTCAGGAGAGCGAAATCAAGCCTGTGAACATTCCCTTGGTAGGCTTCAGTGGAGAGGAAGTCAGGCCCCTGGGAAGAGTTACAGTACCTATGGAGGTCGGCACCTGGCCTAGCATAGCGAGATTTGACCACACTTTCTTAGTGGTCACAACTCCCTCCCCGTACAACACCATAATAGGTCGGCCAATCACCCACGCTCTACGTGCAGTGGTGTCCACCTACTACCTGGCCATGAAGTTCCCCACGGACTTTGGAGTAGGGGTAGCGCGAAGCGACCAGCTCGAGTCTCGCAAATGCTACATCGTCGCCCTCAAAGGGAAAGCCATGGTAGCAGACGACCTCGAATTGGAGCGACCTACGGAGTACCATGAGGAGCGAGCTTCACCAATAGAAGAGACAGTTCTTATACCTGTTTCAGCAGAAGATCCAGACAGGACTCTCCAAATCGGCGCATCGATTGAGGAGCCTCTACGTTCTTAGCTGGTAAGTTTCTTACTTCAAAATTTAAATGCATTTTCATGGTCCGCGGCAGAGATGCCCGGCATAGACCCTAGAATAATCACTCACAAACTGAACACCGATCCTGTAGTCCCGACAAAATCAAGGTCATCTTAGATATGAGACCACCTCGTAAATTGAAAGAGGTTCAGAGGTTAAACGGTCGTATAGCCGCTCTGAGCCGTTTCATGTCTAAATCGGCAAATCGCTGCCTGCCTTTCTTCAAGGCAATCAAAAAAAGCAAAGACTTCGAATGGACCGAAGAGTGTCAGCTCGCTTTCGACAAGATCAAAAGGTACCTCGCCAGCATCCCGGTTTTGACCCGACCCGAGGAGGGAGATATTTTGAAGTTGTACCTCTCCGCGAGTGACGAGGTAGTCAGCTCGGTACTGATAAAAGAAGTAGATCGGGTTCAACAACCCATCTACTATTTTAGCAAAGTTTTGCAGGACGCAGAAACGAGATATCCAGAAATCGAAAAGTTGGCGTACGCGCTACTCATTGCAGCTCGGAAGCTTCGGCCATACTTCCAGGTTCATACCATCGTCGTCCTCACCAACAAACCTCTGAGGCAAGTCTTGCTCAAGCCCGAGGTTTCCGGTAGATTGACGAAGTGGGCCATTGAACTCAGCGAGTACGACATCCAGTACGAGCCCCGAACTGCTATCAAGGCCCAAGCCTTAGCCGACTTTGTCACGGAATGTACCTTCACTGTTGTAGTCCCTGAGTTGATCGAGCCCGAGCACGGAAAAGAAGCTTCAACCAGTGTGGCACCTCTCCTGGTTGGAACGAACCCGACCTGGGATGAGGAGCCCTGGATCCTCCATGTGGACGGCTCGTCAAATCAGCAAGGTAGCAGAGTTGGAATCATTCTGTACAGGCCAAGCGGGGTGAAACTAGAGTAAAGTCAGAGAAGCTCTACGTGATTTCCAGTCATACTTCATGAGACAGATCCCGAGATCCGAGAACGCTGAGGCCGATGCTTTGTCCCAGTTAGCCAGCACAAGTGACAACACCATGAGGACCATTTACATAGAGAACCTGCCTCGGCCTAGCATTCTCGGGGCGGCAGAAGAGGTTGCTCCTGTTGCACAAGAAAAGCCGAGCTGGATCGATCCACTCGCGAGCTACCTGCTTCACGGGACCCTCCCTGCAGATCGTAATGCAGCTAGAAGGGTAGAGTGACAGGCAGCCAAGTACGTCATAATAGACGGGCGACTGTACCGAACTCAGAAGTCGAGCTCGTTCTTCGCGACACTCATGAAGGTCTGTGTGGCGGACACCTGGGGGGCAGGTCTCTCGCCCAAAATGCGTTACAACAGGGTTACTACTAGCCAACGATGAAGGCAGATGCACTAGAACTCGTCAAAAAATGCGACAAGTGTCAGAGGTACGCCAACGTCCACCACCAACCTGCTGCTAACCTGAAGTATCTCACTAGCCCGTGGCCCTTCGCGCAGTGGGGAATCGACATCCTTGGACCATTCCCACCAGCGACAGGACAGAGGAGATTCTTGGTGGTAGCAATAGACTACTTCACAAAGTGGGTGGAGGCCGAACCGCTGGCGACGATCATGGCCCGAAGCGTCCAAAACTTCTTCTGGAGAAGCATAGTGTGTCACTTCGGACTACCTCGAGTGCTTATCTCCGATAACGGCAAAAAATTTGAAGACATCATGTTTCAGAATTGGTGCATCCAGATGGGGATACAGCAAAATTTCATCTCTGTGTCACACCCCTAGGCGAACGGTCAAGCTGAAGTTACGAACAGGGCCATCCTCCGTGGATTGAAAGCACGCCTAGCCCGAGCTAAAGGACTATGGGTAGACGAGCTGCCCAGTGTACTGTGGGCCTATCAAACCACTATGAAGACCGCCATGGGTGAAACCCCTTTCAACCTCACTTACGGCACGGAGGCAGTCATCCCAGCCGAAATCGAGGTGCCCACACTACGACTGGAATCATATCCGGACTGCGGCCTACCAGCCTCGACCTAGTTGAAGACACAAATGATGACGAGCTACGCACCAACCTCGACCTAGTTGAAGAGGTACGGAACCTCGCACACATCCGGACTGCGGCCTACCAATAGAGAGTGGCTCGGTACTATAACGCCAGAATCAAGAATCGAAACTTCTGCGTCGGAGACCTAGTACTTCGTAAAATCAAGGTGCCTGAGCCCGGTGTTGGTAAGCTCGGACCGAATTGGGAAGGACCCTACCGAGTAAAGCGGGTGCTCGGGGAAGGTACGTACGAGCTCAAAACCCTAGAAGGGAAACAGGTGCCACGGGCGTGGAATGTTAGCAACTTGAGGCGGTACTATCTGTAATCGCCTAACTGGAGAGCGGACTGCGAGTCACTCCCAGAAGTCTAAGGACTAAAAGTGCCAAGCTGATAGAAGACTCCGGCACCACATAAGACCCAGTCGCCTCTTCGGCATGGGCAGAGTTAAGAAGGGTGGACAATAAATCGCCCCCAAGGCCTAAGGGCTAAGGTACCAAATAGTCAGATTCGTCATTATATAAGTCCCAGTCGCCTCTTCGGCATGGGCACCCAAAACCCAGTCGCCTTCTCGGTATGGGTGTATAAGTCCTAGTCGCCTCTTCGGCATAGGCAAAATACCTCTAAACGCCTAAGGCAAAGACAGCTCGGGTGTGAGCCCTACGATGTCTAGCCCACTCCGGCACAAAAAAACAGGTTGGACTCGTTAAGGGACAACCGACATTTAAATGCGTAGCACGAGCACGAGTTATTCCTGCTAGTTTGGGTAGGCAGTTCGGGGTAATCCACACTTAGAGAATTCTTATGGTTGGTTATCCCTACTTATCGTCCAGCTCGGTAGCCCGACAACTCGGATAACCTATACATTTGCTACTCAAGTTGGAAGCCACTTACACTTAGAATATTTTTACAAAAAGATGATGCATTTCATTGACAAAGTAATTGTAAGTATAGAAGATTTCTTTGTGACCCGAGCTTAGTAGCTTTGGGGTGTACATTAATAACTCAAGGGAAAATAGAAAAAAAAATTCAAGCAGGAGGATTGCCAGCCACGTTCGAAGGGCCCACTACTTTGACCTCGTCATCGCTCTCCTCCTCTGACGAGTCAGGTTCCTCGTCTGCTGTCGTAACCACTTCAGGAGCTAAACCTACCATCGTGATAACGCTGAGGTCAAGACAAGGGAACTTTTGTCGAATCAGATATCTGCACAGTTTGAATCCGGAGCGGTAGGAGCTCGAGCTGTACTCGACTTGAAGGGCGTGGAAGTCCGAGGACTCCCTGAAGCGTTCAACAGCCTTAGTTTTCTCTTCTGACCGCACCTCCTCGATGGAAGTCTTGAAAATCTGAGTTCGCTCTTGGACCATTGCTTCAAGGTTCTCGATCTCTCGTTGAAACCGCGTCCTCTCCTCGGTCATCTTCGCGATCAGCTCCTCCTCCTTTGTGGCGCAGAATTCTGCTCCTTGTACTTGGTGTTCTCCTCGGTCGCGGTGAAGCTTTCACGCCTCTACTTTGGCGTCCCCAGCCTACTTTGACTGGATCGCGGACTGGCAAGCCAATGCATGAAGGGCGGAGTTAACCTATCAGAAGCGAATCGAGGTTAGTACAAAAAAAAAATACGGAAAGAAAAGAGGGAGAAAGAAGCCAAAGGCAAAAGGCTTACCACCATGCAGTGACTAGAAGCTAGTCCCGAAAGTCGTTTCAGGAGCATATCAGCCCATCGCGCAACCTCCTTCGGGAAGACAGCGTCCCGGCTCTTCCGCACTGCGAACACATGGTTCGTGATACTCTCCTCCTCGTCAGCAGGAGCGAGCTCCGGCTCGGCAACAGACTCTTTTGGCATAGATCCATCCTCCAGTTCCTGAGGATGGGCCTCCTCCTCGCAGCCCTCCATTGCAATCACCCCGGAGTCCACGGGTTGGGCCTCTTCCTTTAGGGGTTCGGTTGAGATCGGTTTAGCAACCTGGACCTCGGCTGCTTCGGATACCTGAACCTCGGGTGCTTCAGATGTCGAAGTCTCCTCCCGATGGAGTCTCTTTGCCGCCTTTCGCTTTTTCCCCTTCCGGGAACTCATCAGGAGGCTTCTTGCATCAACCTCTGGCATCGTAGCTGCAAACCAGCTTGCATCAGTGCCTCCTCTACCAAGAAGCTCTTCATCTCGAGGCCGAGGTCCCTCCAAGAGATAATCGCTGCCCTGGTTTCCGCGTCCAAGATCACCCCAGGGTCTTGGGTAGCAACCCTCCAGTGGGTTGGAAAAGACCACCCTTCCGGGTTATGGACGATGAGGTACCGTCTTTTTCAGGCCGGAACCTTGTTCGGGCAGTCGGATAGGATCTTAAATCCAGGCCTGGAGGAGATGTAGTAGCTCTTTTGTACGTCCCCGCACAGACAGGTTGAATTTCGCTTGATCGCGCAGATCGAGCTAAAGACGTCAAGGGACAAAGGTCGGTTGTAGACGTGGAACAAAGAAATGGTACCAACTATGTTCCAAATAGAGTTCAGATGAAGTTGGTCGATGGTGATATTGTAGAATTTGACTACTTCTATCAGAAAGGGGTGAAGAGGGAAGCGCAGCCCTGCCACGAGCTGCTCCTCAAAAACAGCAAGCTCATTGTGGTCGTGATCCCAAGGATACTGACCTAGTTGAGAACTAAAAATCAAGTTGTCAGGAAAACGATACCAAGATGCCAGGTACAACAACGTATCCGAAGATAGTTCAGAAGGCCCGAAGTCGTCAGCCTTCCGACCTTGAGAAGAAGTCAGGACCCCTGACCTGGAGGACAGGCCCTCTTCCTGGGCTTCAGTCTCCCCGAGCCGAGATGGCCCAACTTCGGGGTCAGAGGTTCCCTCTACAGACCGATGAAGGGAGGCACCCTACTGTGGACTAGCTTCCCCAGCAAGAACAACGGCGCCCTTCTTGCTAACACTATCTACAAGCCTATCTATGCTAGAGCTCGACATAATTGGAAACAAGAAAAAGCTAAGAGACT